GGTTAAGGGAATGTCTCCAGGTTTTTTTTTTTTTTTTTCACATCAAGTTGTTGCTAGGATACATTTTGAACGTAGAATTGAATGTCTGGATTTGACTGAGAGAGTTGTGCATTAGACATGTTGAATTCGAGATGCCTGTTTGACATCCTAGTAGAGACTGGTTCAGGATCAGGGGTGCTGGTAATTGGAAAGATGAGGTAGTCCTTTTTCATTTTTTCAGTGAATACAGAAGTGAGGTTATCTGAAGGGAGTAATAATGAGGGAGCACATTGGAGATGTGAGGAGAGAGATTTAGAAGGGTCTTCTCAGAGTAAATTGACCAGAAAAGTGTAGTGGACTTAAGGGCAGTGTTGTGATGCGGGACCACTTGACAACTGTGATCCTAAACCAGCCTATGAACATTCAATATGTTCTGCTTCTTGGAGTCAGACTTTGACTAGTAGAAGGAGTTTTACTGTGATTGAGGTTTGGTCAAGCAGTACAGTGGAAAAAGGGGTAAATTAGTTTAGAGTGTGTGCAGGGAGGTAATTTATCAGGACAGATCATGGAATATAAACTGGATTAAGTAGACAAGAAGGAGGTGAGGAGAGTGAAAAAGTGGCTCAACGGTTTTAAGTCCCAAAACAATGAGAGACAGTTCTAGAGAAAGATAAATAGATATGACATGGTGAACAGGGTATGTGAATGATTGAAATCGGGATTTGAGATGCATTTCATCTGTGTTCTAGTTTAATACCATACCAGCTTTACGAAGTGTTTTTTTTTTTTTTTTTTTTTACGGTCTCCATTTTAAACAGAAGCAAATTATGTTGATCAAGATTAAGCAACTTGGCCAAGGGTACACAGTTAGTAAATGGCAGAGCTTGGATGGAAAATTAAAATATTTGTTTTTGTTTTTAACTCCCAAACCTTTGTATAATACTATACCAGCTGTCTTTGATTCATGACAGTTGCCCACTAGACAAAGGATAATCATTATTATGACTGAAAATGTTTACATTATATTTGTTTTGCTTTTTTAGGCTTATAATGGCATGCAAATGAAAAAAGGCCTCAGAAAACATTTCTAATTTTATAAACATCTACTTACTTCCTTTAGAGAATGAGTGGCCTTTAGAAATTGGTTGAAAATGATTTTTACTTTTTCAGAGTTCACAAACAAGCATTCACACATCATTATTAAGCTATTAGCATGGAGTCAATTCTACCTGACCCATTTACATTAATATGAAATTTCCTTTATGTTAAGGAGGTCTTCCATTTTCCTACACTTAAAATGATTTAAGTAGATCCCTATATAATGATAAACGATGATGTTCTGAGAAAAATAAGGTAATTTGATTATCTCTACTTCAGGAAGCTTCAAGAAAATTTACTTAGGTTCTAACTTTAGTAGAGGGAAAAGTGAAACTTTTAAGTTTAAGGTTTCTCACCCTAATCATTAAAATAACAATACTTAGCCAACTTTCACAATATGCAAACAGACAAAACCAAATTGCATGAGCTGTTTTTGGTTTAAAATTACATGGAGCGCTTTCCAGCAATACTTGTATATAGAGGCTTGATTGAAATAGCTGCATAATTCCTCAGCAGAGGGCTTTTCTTTGCTGTAATTACATTCATGCAGTGACTCATATTCTCTTAATGCCTAGATTTTATAATTCAAAGGGAAATGTTCCCTTGAAATTTGAAAACCTGGAGGACTCAAAAGTTGTTTTTAAATTTTTTTTATTATTATTACTTCTACTATTTCTACACCACAGCTAGTATTCCTCTGAGGAATATTTGACTTAGGTGATTTTGATTTCACTCATGCTGGCTCCAGTAGTGGGGTTTGACTCATGTGACAGTGGTAGAGCAAGGATCCCGAAGATGCCTAGCGCAGGGATAAGGTGTTCTGCATTCAGGGACTTCAGCAGTGGGGATTTGGGGCTTTCACTCTGGTATTCACCGCCCTACAGCTCAGTTTCTTTTAAATGTCAGCTTACCTTTGACTTCTGTTTCTCTTTCCTTCATCAGCTGAATGATTTTTTTCTGAATTGACAAGTTCAGATTCCCAGGAGAGGGCACCTTGCTGGCTCTACTGATAAACATGCCTCTGTATGATAATGTTTCCCTCCTACTTCTGGGGAAGTTTTTAAGACTGATAGCAAGGTTGGAGGACAGTCCTTTGCAAACACCTGGCTAGTATCTCTCCTGTTTTGGGTAACAGGGTGTGATGCAGATGCTGGAGCAATTACCAGTTTTGCCTGAGGCAGGTCTTTCCCGTGTGATTTCACATTTTTGTTATAAACCCTTGGAAATTTGTGAAATATATAATATACTCATGAAGACAAAAAAAAAAAGACAATTTTCAGTTGGATGTACAACAGGTACTTTCTTCACCACTCTCCTTTCCACCAGTATTGTTCAGTTCTCTGTAAAGAATCGTGATGGTCAAGGGAGGCCTGGCAGGAGAATCTTGAATGTTCACAGACAAATATTCTTGTCAAAGGATTGGTTTAGGAGTGGCCATATAATGTAATTCTGGCAAAAGATACTTGAGAAGATGAATGCTAAGAGCTATTTTTGAAAGGGCTTGTTCACTTTAAAAAATAAATACAAGGCTTTTTTCTTTTTTTAATCTTAGAATAATGTAGTTTTTATAAGATGCTGAGAATTGCAGCCGTCATGTCAGGGTCATGAGAGGAGCCAGTTAAGAGAGTCCCAGCTACCATGCCGATGGCAGAGCAGAAAGTTGTAAACACCCCTCATCTCATTAATGGCACTGAGCCACCACATGAACCAACCCTGGAACTGCCCTGATGTCAGGTGGGAAGATTACTTTGATGCAATTGTAGCCTCCAAGTATGCTACAAGGTGAGCTATCCTAGAGGTGAGGGAACCAAAAGCTCCCACAGACTACATTCCAATCCTCATATCACATAATTCACTAAATTGATTTAAAGTGCACAGTGAGAGGCAAGAGGAAAGATTATTAGGTTGGCATACCTGGGTTAGGGGCAAGTAGGGTAGAGGGGCCATGCCAGCTAATCCTGGGGTACCTAGTGTTCATGTTCATACATCTGCATATGCCTTCCCTGCTGATGTTGTGGTTACAAGGACCAGAGTTGAGGTTTGGGCAAGCCTCAAAGATAGCAGTTGTCCCAAGCTAATAACACCTGCTCAAGTGTCTGAGAGATACTGGGACAAGTATGCCTAGTCAGTGGCTGTGGGTTGCCAGTTAGCTTCACAAACAGTCATGAGTTCTGTTGTGTTTATTGGACAGATAACAAATGGGGCAGGAAAGAGTATCTGCAGTTGTTGTTAACCAAGGGTGATTTTTGTACCCCAGTGTCCATTTAGCAATATCTGGAGACATTTTTGATTGTCATGACTGGTATATGTAAGAGATGCTACCGGCATCTATTAGGTAGAATCCAGGGATGCTAAGTGTGCTATAGTGAACAAGACAGCCTCCCAAGACAAAGAATTATCTGGCCCAAAGTATTGGTTGTGTCGAAGCTGAGAAACCCCCTCATGAATATTAAGTGAATATGTATATTTAGTGTATCCTGGATATTTAGTGCCTCTTATGTATTTAATATATCATGAACATTTATTACTCATATGCTTCAAGAATAATTGACATTTCTTGATCTTGCAGCCCTTTCTGTCAGCGTGTAACACATACAGTCTTCTTTTTAATACTTTATACATTGGTGAATTCTGCTCATGTCTTACTAGCAAAGTATGTACTTAAAATGTCTTAAAATGGTTTGCCTCTATTTTATAAACCTCAAATTTATTTATCAAATAGAACTAAACATCCTCAAAAGCAAATTTACATTATACTAGTCCTGGAATTTCAAAGAAGAAATAACGTGATAAATGTCCTCATTGTTTAATATACTTTTTGTTGTGTTTTCTACAGCTTGCAGCTGAGAGCATGCTAGCTGATTTTCACATGAAGTCATTAAGAACATCTATTCTAAAGATAAATGAAGCATTGACTTAGACTATAATTACAAGTTTCCTAAATAGTAATATAAGCATCAGATAGTACAAGATTATGGTGCCGGCATTAATGTAATGCTTGTTTGAGCGTTCTGTTTACATTTAAAGCAATTGTAGGCATGGTGCTTATGATGAACCTCTGTGCTCAAAAATGCACATTTTGAAATGATTGGAACAGTTTTTGTTTGATGATCTTCAGTTCACTTAAGGACTTCTTAGTTGGCTCAATGTCTATTAATAGAGCAACACTGGAAATTTATAGCTTCATGCATTTTTAAAAATTTATTAATGATAGTTTTATTTATATTTTAGTGCTTTAAAAGATTAAAGATATTTTATGGAAGTTGTGTCTTGAGACCCCTCCATTAAAAGGGAAAGTTTTTCACATATACGAAATTAAAGAGAAGCATATTTAATATTATAGAAACAAGTAAATGTTGTTTAGGATAGATTTCAAAAAAGAATTGTTTTCAAATGTTGATGGTATATATTCCATTTCATTTCTTTTAACTTTCTTTGCCTTTTTTTACTTTTGTGATGGAAACTAACGTTTTGTCAGATGAAAATATCACATATAACACATAAAAAAATGGTAAGGCATAATGTGTAATTAAAACTGTTTGATAAAAAGTTAAAGTAAAAAATTAAGAACAATATGTCTTAAAAACAATGATGTGCTTACAGTAGTTTCCTGGAATTACTGGCTGGTTCAGCAGAATCAGCTGTGCTCATCAATGGAGTGACAGGTGGTGTAGGCAGTTCAACCTTACATTCTTTTAGAAATACTGGGGGGGTGTGTGTGGGTGTGTGGGGGTGTGTGTGGGTGTGTGGGGGTGTGTGTGTGTGTGTGTATGTGTGTGTGTGTGTGAGAGAGAGACCTATAAAGTGCTGATTTGGGGGGGTTTAAAGAATTGTTAAAGCCAATATGTGTAAACTTGATCCTGATTTTCATGTTTTACATTTTTGGGATCCTGTTTAGTCATCATTTATTTTTGTTGTTGCAGTGATTTGCTGTCCTCTGAATACGTAGAGAGACACATTGAACATGGAGGCAAGACTGTGGAAGTTAAAGTAAGTGAAATTTTCCTACTTGTGGGGAAATTTATTGAGAATCTTTTAATACTACTGATTATGATTTTAATTTTCAATGATATTTCTAATGTACAGTTTTGGGGGTTTTAAAAATAATTTATAATCTAAAGTTTTATCACCCACTTTGGAAAAATGAAACTTTACTTTTAGTTATCAGAAAAAGAATTTTTAGGGTACTGTAGGAATTGTTAGACTTAGGTTTTATAGGATTGCTATACCTGCAAGTACTAGGTTGATGCAAAAGTCCTTGTGGTTTTTGTCGTTATTTTTAATGGCAAAAACCCTAATGACTTTTTTTTTTTGAGACAAAGTCTCACTCTTGTCTCCCAGCTGGAGTGCAATGACACGATCTTGGCTCACTGCAACCTCTGCCTCCCGGGTTCAAGTGATTCTCCTGCTTCGGTCTCCCAAGTAGCTGGGATTACAGGTGCCTGCCACCACACCCGGCTAATTTTTGTTTTTTAGTAGAGAGAGGGTTTCACCGTGTTGGCCAGGCTGGTCTCGAACTCAGGCGATCCGCCCACCTCGACCCCCCAAAGTGCTGGAATTACAGGCATGAGCCACCATGCCTAGGAAACCCCAGTGACTTTTATGCCAACCTATAGTTCTTTCTTGGATTATGTCACTGAAGATAGTTTTTGAAATTTGCCTTTAGGGTTACCACTGAGAACCAAGAGGTGAAAACTTGGGTCCAGGGTAGGTGTTTGCCTTTGCATTCAGTTGTGAAAGATTCCCACCCCCGCCGCCCCCTAACCCAGCCCCACCCCACAGCACCCCACACCTCCACCAGTAAAATGTAAAATTGTTAGATCTACAGGAGATCAAGGAGTTGAAAATACCTGGAGACAGAAATCTCAGGATACTGGTTATGACAAGTAAACTGAAAATATTAACACAAAAATAAAAGCCTCCACCAGCTAGAGGCATAAGAATGTGGGGTTTTCCCCCCAGATCTGCAGATGGTGTAATCTGAGAGCATATGAAAACAAAAGCCACCCGAGTGTAGGGCTTCCTTCTGCTCAATGTTGAGTATAGTGAGTTTTGGCCAAGTGTTTATTTTCTTCTGCATAGTGTTCAGACTATCTACGCTACTCTATCTGAATTATAACCCACTTGTTCACATTCATTTCCTTTTTCTAATTACAAATTAGATACATGCTCATTTTAGGAAACTTGTAAACAGAGAAAAGTAGAACAAAAAAGGAAAACTCATCCTTAAACTCATCACTGAGAGATAAATGTTTTCATTTTGTTATTTCTTTGAGTTTTTTTGTCATATGCACACAGTTGTATATATACATAGATATTTACATAGTATCATATATAGCTACAATATTGTATCTGCTTGCTTCTGTATCATTTTGTAAACATTTGCCAAGTTATTTTCCCATAAAGCCTTTGTTCAGTTTTTTATGTACATATATTACTGTTGTAAAGCTTTTTATTCAAACTAAACTGTTATCAGTAACCAAAATAAATTATATCGTCCTATTCAAATGACAATCTGAAGAGAATTGAGTTTTTCAATTATATATACGTAAACTAAAAGAAAACTTTTTATTGTGGAAAAGTTTAAACATATTTCGAAGTGAAAAGAATGCTATAATGAACCCCCTCATTCCCATCATCCAGCATCAACAGTTATCAACACTTTGACTATCTTTTTTTTCTCTTTTTATTTTGTGTGTGTGTGTGTGTGTGTGTGTATGTGTATGTGTGTAGTATTTTAAAGCAAATTCCAGACATTAGGACACTTTGTCAATAAATACATCCTGTATACCTATACATTTCTAATTCGTAAAGACTTAAAATCTGGTAACTCCTGTAAGCGATCTAGGTGTAATAATTATGCCTGTCTCTCCAGAAAGTTATCCTAAACTAAAGATTGGTGAATTGAATGGTGGATTAATTTATATTACTGCCTCCCTACAGAAGGGATATCAGGATTTTTCTAGATATAACATGGGAGAATGGAGCCATTTTGTTTATAGTTGGGGAAAAAAAATTACCTAGGGATAGAATCTGCAGGTCCTTTTATTCCCATCCCTGTTCATTTGGCTTCACTTCTCTATTTTCTATGATAATGTTTTTCTGATGTAGAGTATCTCTTATTCCCTTGTTAAATTAAAGAGGAAAGGAAACAGGCCTTTCACTATCTGTTTCCGTCTGTGTCTGTCAGTGGAATGATGAAATGCAAATAGGAGCGTGGAGGGTGGACCCAGCAGATAGCTCTCTGCTCTCTCTATGGTAATATCCTTTTTCAGAAAACTTGTATCTAATCAGCAAAGTGCACTCTACTCTGGGATCTTAAGGCTCCATGGGTATACATAACACATGAAGCACTGACTTTGCCGCACAGTCTTTGCTGATTTTCCAACCTGAGAATTGCAGTTTCTTTGTTGATGGTTTTTCTAACCCCTAAGCCTATCATACTAGGGAAATGATAAATACAAACTTTGTCCAGACTGAAGGGCCAGAGGTTGTTTCTTTTTCCCTTTAAGAAAACCACTTTGGTCTCACCTGTCACCTCCATTTGTTTCCACTACATTTAAAAATCTAACTCAAAATTCTCCTCTGGGTTTTTCCAGGAACCACATTGAAAGTGCTGAATCCTGCCCATCAATCCAAAGTCAGTAGCCAATTATTTCTCTGCAGGTTCCCTCCTGTCTCGACCTCTGTGCTTAGCTCTTTGGGATATTTCTTTTCACATGAAATCTGATAGCAGTCTATTTTCTTTATTAATGACTCATTAATACATTATAAATCAAAGTTGTAGCATTTTAGATTTTTTCCTTCCCTGCAGTACCTTTTAAAAAGGAACTCCCAAAACTTTTACTTCTCCTTTACCTTCCATATTAGTTTGCTAAAGCTGCCATAACAAAGTACCACAGACTGGGTAGCTTAAACAATAGAAATGTATGTTCTCTCAATTCTGGAAGCTGGAAGTCCAAGATCAAGATGTTGACAGTGTTGGTTTCTTCTGAGGCCTCTCTCCTTGGTTCGTACATGGTTTTCTTCCTGTGTCATCACATGGCTTTCCCTCTGTGTGTATCTGCATCCTAATCTCTTCTCGTGAGAACATCATTCCTATTGAACTAGGGCCCACCCTAATAAACCTGTTTTAACTGCATTACCTCTTTAGAGACCCTGTCTCTACATACAGTTATATTCTGAGGTATTAGGGGTTAGGACTTTAACGTATGCTTTTTAGGGGAACACAATCCACCTATATAACACCTTCCTTAAGAGCCCTGTAAGTTTTTGGTTTTTTCTTAAAGTTGACTTTTCTCTTGGGACTGAGGTAAATGAAAGGAAATGTGAAATCAAAGCTAAACTCTAAGAGCTTCTTGTGTTAATTGGCACAAGCATGGCCATATGTATCCTAAGGATGCAAATTTAAAATTAAAGTATTATTCCAAACTTAACAACGGCTAGAAACCAGTCAATAAATGGCTGTGCTCAGGTGTCTTTGAACTTTTGGTAAAGGAATAAATGTTTCAGGAGAAAACATTTTTAGAAAAGAGCTGGATGCAGTGTCATGCCTGTTTGCAGCTACCCAGGAGGCTAAGGCGGGAGGATCATTTGACCTCAAGAGTTCAAGGCCAGCCTGGGCAACATAGCAAGAGACTGTCTTAAACAACAACAAAAAAGTCATGGTAAATCTTTTAGATTGCAATTTTATTTTTAAAAACCTATCCAGTGGTAAAATATACAACAGACACAGAAATTCACATAAAACAATGTATGGGTTGATGAAATACTAAAGGCAAATGCTTTTATAATGACCATTCAGTTCAAGAAATAGAGCGTGGCCAGCTGTTTGTTTGCTGCATCCCAAACCCAAGCCCTTTTCATCCTCCTCTTGTAAGATTTGTAAACATTATCCTGACTTTTATCGTAATCCCTTCCTTGCTTTTGTTCATAGTTTTATCACCAAAGCATGTACCCCTGTAGTTTAATTTTGGCTGTGTAGGTTTTAAAAATAATTTTTGGCTGGGTGCAGTGGCTCACACCTGTAATTCCAGCACTTTGGGAGGCCAAGGCAGGTGGATCATGACATCAGGAGATCAAGACCATCCTGGCTAACATGGTGAAACCCCGTCTCTACTAAAAATACAAAAAATTAGCTGGGTGTGATGGCACACACCTATAATCCCAGCTACTTGGGAGGCTGAGGCAGGAGAATCACTTGAACCCAGGAGGCAGAGGTTGCAGTGAGCTGAGATTGTGCCACTGCACTCCAGCCTGGGTGACAGAGCAAAACTCTGTCTCAAAAATAAAATAAAATAAAATAATAATTTTAAAAACATTATCTTTCTCTTTTGTTTCCCCTCGCAATTTATTTGTTGAAGAAACCAGATTGTTTATCTTATGTAATTTCCTACAATCTGGATTTTGATGTTGATTGCAATTTTGTGTTTAGTGTAAAAACAAACACATTTTGGTGATTGTTCCTTAACATAATGATTTGTGTTATCTGCAGGGACATCATCAGCCTCATTGAAATTAGTTTATCTTGTTCACATAGCTGTGCCTAATTCTGATATATAAGTTGTATTAAAACTTCAAAAGAATTTTTTTTTCAAAGGTTACAAAGATAAAGTCTTTATGCAAGAAAAGAAAGATACTTTGTGTTCCTTTAATGAGACATATTAATCTTTCACTTACATTTATTTTCAATCCATTTAAAAATTAAATTATTGCCAGGCACGGTAGCTCATGCCTGTAATCCCAGCACTTTGGGAGGCCGAGGTGGGTAGATCACAAGGTTGAGAGATTGAGACCATCCTGGCTAACATGGTGAAACCCTGTCTATAGTAAAAAATACAAAAAAATAACTGGACGTGGTGTCAGGCGCCTGTAGTCCCAGCTACTTGGGAGGCTGAGACGGGAGAATGGCGTGAACCTGGGAGGCGGAGCTTGCAGTGAGCCAAGATCCTGCCACTGCACTCCAGCCTGGGTGACAGAGTGAGACTCCG